GACATCTAAAATGGGAGATATTCAAGTAAGTTGATTTAGAGTCCTTAATATCACACCCAATATGAAATATTAAGGCTAGGACCCAACACAATATTTTATAACTTGGAAGAGGGATGCCGTAATCCAAGCTATAGAATATTTGAAGGTAGGCGAATGACGATTCACCAATTTCCACCATGAAAAACGAAATAATTTATTAGGTTTTATTTGGTTTTTTGAAACTCCTAGATCTTTTGATATTCATTGAACTTTTCAATGGCATGTTTCAATCTCGATTGTGCCCTCTCAAATTTTGTGACTGGGATGCCGAGGATTACAAAACAAGGTGTGAATAACCATGGAAATTCACTTGGTACCCTTAATATTATCACATAATCGATGTTCCGGTTAACCACACACGCTCGATCTATGATAAACATTAAGTTACCCTTTGCCACTCTTACTAGTCCATGTTAGTGTGCCGGTTAACCACACACGCTCCACTAACGACTTGGTAAGGTACAAAGTGTAAATTTCATGGGTTAGCACCAAATTCACATTTTCCTAAGTAACTAAGATTGAGAATTTATAAGTGTTTAGTTACTTAGTATTTATCATTAATACTTTTAATGAAGGGAGAATTATAGTCCTGTCAAACCCGTTCGGCTAACGACCCTCCACCAGTCAAGGAAGTGGTGGGTGAGAGTGGACACCCATTAAACTACCATTTTATAGGTAGTAACCTTATACCCCCCTTATAGACCGGCTTCGTGAATGAGGCCTACTAACGGTAAGACTGACTTTGTTCTTATACATATATATAACTATTAACTATTAATATTATAATAGTATAAGGGTTGAATTTTAACTTTTAAAACTCTAAGGGCTTAATTTGGAATTAAAGTATTCATGAAAGAAAACTTTTTGAAAATCCAAAACTTGAGGGCAAGTTTTGAATTATTCAAAAAACTTGTCAATTCCATAACTTATGTGTTTAAAGTAGTTTTAATTAAAAAACTCTTCAAGTTCCATAACTTGAGGACAAGTTATGGAAGGCTTTAAACCATTAAAAGAATGTGAATCTTCCTTATTCATTACTTATGGAAAACTTTATGAGGTTTATGAATCTTAAATGTGACTTTTCATATAACTTGAGGACAAGTTACAAAAACACATTCTAGAATCAACTCTTAGATTAATTTGGATTGAAAAAACACAATTTCACATAACATTCCTATTAATCTAAGTAACTCATAAGAACAAGATAATCCAATTAAACTTTTTCATGTAATTAGCCTATCCATTAAACTAATACAAAACATGAATCTAATGACAATTATATTTGAAATTGGATTAGCATGAACATTACCACATAAAAAATAGGTTTATAAGATCAAAAAACAGCTTAGGGTAATGTTTCTAGTCCAATTCCAGCCTTAAAAGTCGAAAATATGCTGTCAGGGGGTCCAACTCGTCGAGTGCATGAACCAACTCGACTAGTTGGAACGTTTTGAACTTTTTTAAGGCATGGACTCGTCGAGTCACCTGATGGACTCGCCGAGTCAGTTGCCCAGACAGCAAAAAACTTCGATTTTTAAGCAGATTTTGCAAGTATAACAAGAAAACAAGCCCAGGCTCTGATACCATTGTTGGGTTTTGGTATAATACAACATCCTATGGTGCACATACAAACCCTAAATACCTTGGATCTATGTTTTCACTAATTATACATGCAAATGGTTTCCAAGGTATTGAACCTATAGCTAACATGCAATTGTCATGCAAACTACATAAAATACTAGATAGAGTAACATACCTTTTGTGTGGCTGGAAGTCTTGATGTATTTGGCCTTAAGAGCTTAGCCCCAATAGTGTGGAAGCCTCAAATGAAGTCACAACACATCAAAAACAAAGGTAGGACTTGAGAGAGAATCTTCATGCACTCTAAAACCTTCATGAACTCCAAGAACATGCACACAGTAGGGGTGGCGGTTTTAGGTCACAACATATGTATTTATATGTGTTGAATTCTAAGAGTCATGGGTATAACCCAAACACATATCCATGGGTCTTATGATCCATGGTTCATGTGACCCAACTCTTTATGTATCCATACAGAAACTTGGTCCAACATGGATCATAAGCCCAACACATATAAATATAACTAATTACCATAATTAGTCCCCATAGATTTAATTAGTATCTTTTGATCACTAAATTAATTCCAAATTAATTCTTGATCAACACTAATTAAAACATATGATTTCATATTAATATATTAGAACTTATAATATATTAATAAATCATATATGACCTCTTCTCTCAAAAGTCCATCCTAACAAATTGTCCTGATGATATGCAACCCAAATGGACCATGCTACTCTCAGGTCGGATACATACCAATAATAGTTATGGGCTTAGACACCTAATCCAACAGTGGAAGGCCTGAATATGCCATAAGTTGGATTATTCGGGGGGATGTTTGGTAAGTTTTAGACCTAATATGAAAGGATTTATGAAATTAGGGGCTAAAGAGTTAATTATGGACCTCATTTGAAAATAATTGTAGAGGGAGGGGCCACTTAGTAAAATATGGGACTTAATTTGTAAGGGATTTACATGGATGAGGTTAAAAGGGTAAAATATGGGCTGACTTTGAAAAAAACGTGATGGGAGGGACTGTTTGTGACATTATGGAAAAATGCTTAAGGGCGTCGGGTATATAGTGAACAAACCCTAACCCTAATCGACCACTTTATAGCCACATCCCTCCATCCTTATGCCCCCTCACCGGCGCCACCACCACCCCATTTTCCGATTAACGAGTGGCCGTCATGCGAATACCGAGTCTCCACCGCTCTTCTTCTCCTTCTTCTTCTTCAGTCGCTGCCACGAGACGTTGCATCCACCACCTGCTACCTCGCAAGTCGGAGTCACCCAACCGCCAATAGAAGCCGTAACCACCTCCATGGCGTGCGCTGCTGCTGCCTTTCGACGACGACAAGACCGCCGCCTGCTGCCTTGGTGATAAGCGCCTTCGCAGCGTGGTTGTCGGAGGCGTAACCGAATCGTGAAGGTGCCGCCGCCACCTCCCTCGTTCCTGTAGTGTCATCACAGGTCCACTACCGCCATCAGCCGCTTTCGTGACGCCTTCGAGCTCCATCCATTGCTGCCATCGATGATTGTATGTGCTGTCGTCGCTGCAGGCCGCCATACGCCACCAAGAGGGTGGTTGGGTTCTTTTTGCAACCAGAGCATGTGTATATGGCTATATTTCCACTGTTGGTGTGTGATGTGTGTGCTTGGGAGGTTTGTGTCGCCGGAAAGCAAGTGCACCACTATGGCAGCCAACCATGGTGGTTGCCGCCGGTTATAGCTTTTCCGCCGCCATGCATCACCGCCGGCCACCACAGTGTGGCTGTGTGTGTGTGTGTTATTGAGATTCGGGTTGTAAAATGTAATTAGCAAAAAGAATAATGAAAGAATCTCAAAACCACTACCATAAGGTGGTGGCTGCCGCCGTGAGCCGCCATTGACCGCCACTACCCGAGGTGGTAGTGGGCGGTGCCCCACTAGCAAAACCCAAATGGGCCTAGGAAACCCTAATGGGCTTAAGGACTTGGTTTTGGGCCTATTGGGCTATAAATGGGTTGGAAACCCTAATTAGGGTTTAGAAAACCCTAATTTTGGATATATGGGCTTTGGATCAATCGGGACCCGCACTAGAATCGTTTATGAAATTAAAATATTAATTAATAACCATTTGCAAATAACCTAAGGCCATGTGGGACTTAATGGATTAAGTCCTTAATGGGTTAAGTAAGGACACTTAACCCTAATCATCATTTTATGTGAAACCCTAATTTTCACTTGGGCCTTAAGTTGGGCCTTTCTATTGGGCTTTGATGATTGGGATAATAATGGGCCATCCAAGATCAAGCAATTGGGCTAGAATAATTTGATGGGCCTAGGGTAAGGCCCATGTAAGGGGTTTGGGCCGAATTTTGAAAATTAGGCCATAGATGGGCCATAGTTTGGGCCTTTATGATTATGAGATATTGGGCCATTCGAAATACCGATTGTTGGACTGGACTTTTTGATTGGGCCTTAGAATGAGACCATGTGAAGGTTTGGGCCCAATTTGGAATTTTGGGCCATATGTTGGGCTTTGGCCCATTACTTGGATTTTGGGCCTTTGGAGTATGATTTGGACCTTGGGCTTGGAACCTAATTATTAATTGGGTATTGTTTGATGTTGACAGTTCGGGAATCTGTCAACCAGCAGCTGGAGTTTTATTCGCGGGACTTCAGTAGTGTCAGGTAAGTCTTCTCACTATACCAATGGGTCTAAGGCACCAAGGTCGGCCCATTTTATGATAGTTGGTATACTTTCTATGTAGAGGTGCGTGACTTGTATGTATGCGTGATATGCGGTAGAGATAGCCTTCTGGCTAATGGTAGAGACAGTCTTTATGGCTGATGGTAGAGATATCCTTTGTGGCTAACGGTAGAGATAGCTTTTATAGCTAATTGATATGTGATAATGGTAGAGATAGCTTTTATAGCTATTTGATATGTGATATGTGGTTAAAGTAGCTTCTATAGCTGATTGTTATGAGATAATGGTAGATATAGCTTTCATAGCTAAATAATATGTGATATGTGGTAGGGATAGCTTTTATAGCCACTTGCTCTGTATTATGCGGTAGAGATAAATTTTACAGTTAATACGATATGTGTTTTGTGGATTGTGTGTGGGGTATGCTCTGGGGGACTCACTAAGCTTTGTGCTTACGGTTTACAGTTTTGGTTTCAGGTATCGTCAGTTTGGAAACGAAGGGCTCGGATTGATCGCAGTGCACACACCTATGATATCTGCAATGAATGATTTTGGGACGAACTCTGATAAATGTTTTTGATTAACATTGTTCTGGAATGTTTGGAATAAATGGTATCTATGTTTGGGTTAGATTAAAAATGAAATTTTTACCCCTGATTTTTGGGACGTTACAAGCAACTTCCTATTTCTTACGCTCTTGCAGCAGGGCCTCCAAGTATTCTCTTCGGTCTTCAGCACTATGATCCAATCAATCACATAAATAATGTGTATAGTTCATGTGTATGTGTGTGTGTGTGTTTGTGTGTGTGTGTATAACTACATACATATATTTTCATTGTGAATAGCACACACAAAAAAGTAACACGAACTACCTTGTGTTATTGTCAAAGAAGCCAGCAGTAATGCTCTGATTAGCAACTCCAAGTTTGTGCTTAGATGAAGCTCTAACTTGTTCTTCAACCGATTTAACCTTACATCAACACATTTTTAATGAGTTGAAATGTACTTTTAAATCAGACATGTTAACCTAAAAGATCTCCAAGTAATGGTGTGAATGTCAGGTCAACATACCGTTTCTAACCGAAGAACAAGTACCTCCTTCTTCTGACTAATTTTGTGAGCTTTAGCCTGTGCTTGCAGATCAACCTAACCACACACAGAGACATAAAACCATTAAGCATAAGCGAAAAATCAAATTACTATTAAATTAGAATTCTTTTTTTAAGTATATATCTGTTTATTTATTGCCGGTGGGTTCCAGTCCGTGTCGAAAATGATAACTGTATCAGCAGCTTGAAGATTCACTCCAACGCCTCCAGCACGTATACTATGAAATAAAAAAAGGATATATGGAAAAAGAAATAGAATTTATTTTTAAAAAAATAGAATACAACCAAAATGTTGATTACCTGAGAAGGAATATGAAAAATGGAGATCCAGGTTTTTTAAAATGGTCAATTAAGGACCCACGATCACCGCCACTTGTATGTCCATCTAGGCGAAGGTACATATACTGTTTTTGATATAAATAATCCTCCATCACATCAAGCTGCCTAGTCATTGTTGAAAACAAAAGAACCTGCATTTTGTACTTCCAATATAAGCATCTAAACAAAAAAATGATAACTGCTATTAGAAGATAACTGACATATTAGAAGTTTTTCAATTTTATTTCTTGTATTTAACCCAAAATGAGTTTGCATTAATGATAGAAGAAAGGAAGAGAATACGAACCTATTATGTATGAAGTTGGTTGAGGTAAGGATGATTACATATATTTCGTAGCTCAACAACAGAATTGTGCACTGATCGACTCTGGTGGAAAGATAAAAGTTAGAGAACAGATACTTTAAAAACCTAATTTTAACCAGAAAGCAGATTATTTTTATTATGATTTATCCCCTGTTTGCCTGTTTAGATCATGGGTTCTAAAGGAATCCAAAGGAATTGGAATGGGAAGTTAACAGATTAGTGTCAATAACAAATTTGTGTATTTTATTTCTAGTAAATGTGTTTATTGCTTCATAAATAAATAAATAAATAATCATGTTTATATAAACAATAAAGAGATAACAAAAACCAATAAAGACTATTTTGGTCATTTTACAAAATTGTTTTACCAGTGCCTTGGTGAATTCATGCAAACAATACATTTTGTATGGTATTCTTGCTTCAAAACTCAAGTATTATTCATTAAGTCTCAAAAGAAATTGGAAATTCAAATTGTGCATTGAAATGAGGATGAATATCATGCTCCAGACAGCAAAAGCTGACACCTAAAACAAAGTTATTGCAAAAAATGAACCTTGGTAGCACCAAATGCACCCACATCGTCTTCTACTCTCCTCATGAATATCTTCTCATATGCAGAAGATTTGCATCTTACAAGTCTCTCTATCTTTTCAGGCAACTCATTTTCAACCTATCAAACCAAAGTAAAGAAACAAAAAAAAATCATTTGCAAGAAAAAGAATAAAACATTAACATCCTTTAATATCGTTTCTGTAGGGATAAAACAGACCTTGTGTTTCAGTCTCCTAAGAACAAATGGTCGGAGAGCTTGGTGAAGACGATTTACGATTAATAGATTCTCCTCCTTAGAGAGTAAAGCCTATGCAATAATAAGTAGAAACTCAAGTTAAGTGAGAATTAATAAAACATAATGCTCACTTCTTCAAGGGAGTTATCTGCGTTACTTTCAAACGGTTTGTTGAACCACTGACAAAAATCCTCAGCTGAATTAAAAATATTTGGCAACAGAAAGTTAAGCAGTTCCCACAGTTCCTCAAGATTGTTCTGCAAATTAAGATAAGCAACACAAATTTAATGCAAAGAATGGTTCAATTATGTTAACTGTTGATAAATTATAGGGATAGATACAAGATATAACAATGTACTTCCATTTTTTTGTGTATAATGGCCTCCTACTTTCATTTTATTTCTGTTGCAAGGAATTTTACTTTCGTTTTTTTTTTCTTATTCAGGCATTATAATTTGAAATGTCTACTCAATTACAACTATTTAGATGTTATTTTGAAAAATCTACCTATAGCAGTAAAAATTACTTATATTTGTATTTGGATTACATTACTATAATTATATTTATGTATTATAGCACCCTACCATTTATTTATTTCTATTACAGCAATGAAAAAAAGAATTGGTAATGTACTTCGAATTATAGCATTGCATTTTCAACTTTCCCCAGGCCCATTTCATCTGCTAGAATTCCATTCAAATGGTTGTTGTATAGTGACAGTAACCATCGTAATCTGTTCATCTGATACCTAAAGACAAACCAATATATATATATATATATATATATATATATATATATATATATATATATATATATATATATAATATATATAAACTAAAGAAAAAGAGTATGATTACAAAAAAAATTCATTTTTTCAAATAAAATTTGTCGATTGTTTTTGCAAAAGATGTTTCTGAAACTTATTACTTACTCTCGCAATTTTCCACCAATGAGAGTTGTTGGCTGCTCCGCTACAAGTTCTTTGACACTGCAACATTGAACTGATGATGAGTTTGAAAATATAAAATAATTGATTAAAGCCAAGAGCAATAACATTGCTATTTCACATTAATGCAACAAAAAGTGATGGACTAAAAAAAGGAAAACAAGGAAATACAAAAGTTAATGAAGTACCTATGAGCCATAAAATAGTACTTTTCATTGCTCTCCATGTCATGCTATAGAAGCCAAAATATTTATTAATAACATATTAAAAGGCAAACGAAGGTTATAAGAGTGTAAAGTAACAAAAGATAGAACATACCTTGGCCTGATATGTTTCGTCTTCATTCTCAAAAGTAAATTCACTATTATCATTTAGACCATCATCTGCTTCAAAAGGCACTGCTGATAACTTTTGCCTCTTTCAGCTTTGATCCAAGCTTCTGGAGATACTTCTCGGTCTCTTTCAATAGTTGCTTAACTCGATCCGATTTTGCCTCCTATAAAAGCAATTTTAATTTCAAGTTTTTTTTATTTGAATTCAGATCTTTGTTGAGTTGTATTAATAAGATTAGAGCTCACCTTAACCATCTGAAGATAAACTTCCACATCATTGATTTTTAAAAGATTGATATTTTCCCGTTGGATTCTGTCAATCTTCTCCCGATAACCTAAAAATCAAAAGCAAAATCATTGAAAAAGGAATGTCGGAAACGTTCGGGGGTAGAGGACATCATGTACAGTATCACAACAATTGAATAATAGTAATCAAAGAAACAACAACCATTGTATTAATAGTATAGTGTTTTACATTACATTTGAATCATACACGATTGACTCCCAAAAGCAAACAACAAGTAAAGACTCGAAACTACTATGCTCCATCTTCTTGAACCCGATGCGTGTACCAGTCAACTAATGTCCTGAGAATACAAGTAGGTTTTGAAAGAGTATCAGCATAAAGCTGGTGAGTTCATCAGCGTTTTGTTTTAGAAAGCAGGTTCTTTGTTCTTTCGAAAGGTGCGTTATGTTTCTCAAGAAAAAACTTATATTTTCTCATGTAGTGAACGTTAAGTAAAAATAACTCTCACAAGTTCCTCCTGCGAGTACTTAGTGTATACAAATCATATACAACCCAGATCGAACAAACAATCGATTGTGTGGTTCTGCCCCAAGCCCACAACCAAACAGGGAACAGGAAATGGGGCGGAGGCCACACATTCCACTGGTTGTCGGATCCTTATGTACATAATCCTGAAGTATTCACTAGATACTTATAAAGTTAACTGTATTGATCCTTTGATATCTGTTGAAAGTGTTCCTCAAGAAAATCCATTATTTTCTTATTGAATGCATGGTTAACCAATTCTTTTTATAACTACTTAGCTCATACTAGCTATGTATAAACCAATATCAAACAGACGATTGATTGTGTGGATCTGCCCTAAGTCCACAACCAAACAAGGAACAGGAAATGAGGCGGAAACCACACATTCCATGGTTTGTCGGATATTCTTCACACATAGCCTGGATGCATAAACTAAGGAATTACAGAATTAATAGTGAATGTACTAATGTTTACCCTGGAAAATCCTATATTTTACCTAGGTGTATGTTATTAAATTATCTGTTCCAAACCGAATTGTATAAGTATCTACCATACTTATATTGTTTAAGTATTGTTCTGTTTGAAAACCAGTATGTTCTGTATGAAAACCTTTGTATGAATACCGTAGTGTGAATACCCTGGCTACCACAAATACATATAGCGTGTTCTGTAAACTGAAAGTGTTGTTAATACCCTCATGTGATCACTTAGTACATACGAGTTATAGAAATCTAGATCGAACAAATACTCGATTGGGTGATTATGCCCAAAGCCCACAACCAAACAAGGAACAGGAAATGAGGCGGAGATCACACATCCCACTGCAAGTCGGATGTTAATTTCATATTACCCAAGTGTATATACTAAGCTATCACATAGTTACTAACCCTAGTGTTTGTTCGTTAGGTATATTATTACGTGAACGAGTCGTTGTTTCCCCTGTGAGCTCCTATAACCATACTATGGACGATACACATTACGACGTACTTTGGACGCCGCGGACTGAATGACGTTTGTCACCCTCGGTTGACTATAGCTAATAGTCAGGGTGCGGGATTGTCACTCCCGTATAGATCTATACACAAACTCACGCTCTCCCTCCAAGAGTCTCTTGCTATAAGGGGTAGACTTCTCGGAAGACGTGTCTCACACTGTTGGTTCTCTCAACAAATCCACGAATAATACTATGAAAACCCTTTTTGTTATGAATCCTTATAAAATAATACTTTTATTTCATAATTCATAAGTTTGTTTCCTCTGTTCTGAAAAACTGTGTTAGTAATGTTGTATCTTAACATGTTTTGTAAAACTGATTTCAAGTCTAGTAGTGACGATGTTTACATGCATATGCCTAGAATTAGTGGTTATAACTACTAACAAGTATAGGAAGCCACCTAGGATTGTAGGAAACACCCTAAATGAAGTGTTAGGCTCACAAATGGAAGCTTGGAAGGGGTTCACGACCACCCAAGGATGGGTTTGCGGCCGTATATAGTTCACGGCCTCATGAGGTGTTTACGACCCTTTGAATCTATGAAGGGTTCACGGCTGTGAACTCTTCAAGACTATGAAGATGGTGATGAAACATGATGAATCATGGAGAATCAAGGATATGATCTAGTAGGCTTTCAAGTATAACAAGTTTAAGGTTGAAACACTTACGTTTTTGGAGCTTTGGAGGGTTCACGGTCGAAGCTTCTTGAGAGAGAATGGGGGTGTTCACGGTTGGGAGGAGGAGAAATGAGAAGAAAATGAGGTCACCCATATATTTATATATAATATATATATATATATATATATATATATATATATATATATATATATATTATATATATATATATATATATATATATTATCTATATATATAGGAGGTGGTTCCCGGCCGTAAACAGGTTTGCGGCTGTGAACATCTTGTGGGTGATTTTTTGGTTCGAATTTAACCTCCTGATCTCATGCTAACTCATCCTAGCATCCATTCATACATTACACTAGGCTCAGCAACTCTCAAACGGACCCTAATCATAGGTAAACGAAGCAAGAACAAGTCTGACTTTCTATTAATCGAGTTGACTTACAGACAGAGGTTTCGGGTTGTCACATCATCCCCCCAATAGAGGGAATTTCGTCCCGAAATTCGTATTCCGAGTCGACGGTTAAGGATAAGGAAAAGAGACGGGTACTCCGGTCTTATTCATGTTGGATAAGATGTCTAAGTCCATAACTTATTTGGTATATACTTGACCCGACCCGGCATGGTCCATTTGGGTTGCACTTCATCCAAACTAGTTATGGATAATTTTATGAGAGTTGTATACTTACGATTTATTAATATATTATAAGTTATAATATATTAATATAAAGTCATGTTACTTAATTAGTTTTAATCTTGAATTAATTATGAATTAATTTAGTGATCAAAAGGAAGACTAATTAAATCATGGGCTATTATATTTATGGGTGTGGGCTAACACTCATTTGGAATGGGCTAAGCTTATATGGAAGTCCATGGATGATCCATGGAGCTTTTAACCCATGGATCCTTGGAAGAGGAAAAGACATGGGTTATTAGGGTTTCACCCTAACCATGCACACTATATAAACAAGCTTATGTTGCATGAAAAACACTAGTATGTGTGTAAGTGTGGTGGCCTAAATCAAGAGTTAGTATACTCTCTCATACATTTTCCAAGTTTGTGGTGATTTGTGATTTCCATTTGAGGCATTCACATTATTGGTGCTTGGCTCCTCAAACTCCAAGGAATCAACAATCAAAAAAGGTATGTAATTATCTAGTTCTTTTATGGTTAAAATTTCCCCATGCCATGCTAGATAGGTATATAAACCTTGGAAACTAATATTTTGTGCATGTATCTTAGATAAACATAGATCCACGGTTTAATAGGGTTGCCTGTACACTTAGGAAGTGTTAGAATGCTCAAAACCCAACAGTGGTATCAGAGCCTAGGCTTGTTTGTTTGATACTTGATGCAAAATGGTGATAAAAAGTCGATTTTTTTTGCTGTCTGACTGATGAACTCGCCGAGTCCATGGGGGGACTCGCCGAGTCCATGGGGGGACTCGCCGAGTTAATGTGTAAACTCATCCTACTCGCCGAGTAGGTTCGTGCACTGGGAGGAGGAGCCTCAGAATGCAGATTTTGACTTTGCTGCTGGAAATGGACTAGAAACATTACCCTAAATGTTTTGGTGTTTTAAACTTGTTTTTTAGTTGGTGTAATGGTAGTTCTAATCCATTTACAATAGCTTATATCAAAATTTCATGCTTTGTATGTGTTCATATAATTCTTGAAACTTTGAATGATCATGCTCTTGTTCTTATGAATTTAGAGAGATGATAGGAATTATTTTGCTGAATTGTTTAGGATTAATTCTTGATCATTTGTGTTTTAATGGAGTCCATAAATTTGTCCTCAAGTTATGGATATCCAAAGGTCACTTCTTTTAAAACACACACTAAAACACAAGAGTTACATAAAATGAAGAGTCTCATTTTTATGAACCTTTAATTCATAAGTTATGAAATGAAAAGTTTTGGATAGTTACAAACTTGCCCTCGTTTTGGAATTTTGTAAGTTTCACACACTTTAACAAACTTTAATTCCAAACCCTTAGAGTTTTAAAAGTTAAAATTCAACCCTTATACTATTTATAACATTAATGGTTAATTAATTAATATATATGTATAAGATCAAGTCGTTTTACCGTTAGTAGCCCCCATTCACGAAGCCGGTCTATAAGGGGGGTTATAAGGTTGTTGCCTATAAATGGCAACTTAATGGGTGTCCATTATCACCCACCGCTTCCTTGATCCGGGGAGGGTCGTTAGCCGAACGGGTAGGACAATGACTTTAAATCCTCATTAAAGTATAATGATTATTATAAAGTAACTAAATATTTTAATTCCCAATCTAGTTACTTTAGGAAAAA